AATGGTGATGGAATAATTTGGAAAAGGATAGTGAGAATAGCAGCACAACTGGAAGAATGTAATCATGTCACTGAATTGTACATGTAGAAACTTCTGAAATGGTGTAACTTTGGCTATGTATATTTTCACCAAAAAAAAGGTCCTCCAAGGTCGAAGGGAGAGTATTGACATGTCGTGGGGTTTTTAACCCATGTCATAAAACAATATGTGTACTGACTGTTTAATGAGAAACTATTTGTTTTGTAAACTTTCATCTAAAGTACAATAAAAAAATTAAAAAAAAAGAATAAGAATAACAGTCTATGTCCTTGCAGTACAATTGATTACTTTTGTGTGGTCTTTCCAGCCATGATCTTCTAACTCCAATCAAGTGTTTGGGCGGGACTGAGCAGATAAGGTAATTGCAGCCCACACTGCACTGAGAAGCTCCTGGAAGCAGAAGACTGACAGAGAGAGAGCACAGGCTGTAACCCTGAAGACGGTGAGAAGCTGTGGCAGGACAGAGGCTGGCAGCAGAGACCTGGCAGCAGGAAACAGTGTGGTAGGCTTCCCAGCCCAGAGAGAGAGAAAGCTGAGTGGCTTTGGGCAGAGGTAGGGCCAGGGAGAGGTGTGCTTGTGAGCACAGCTAGGAAGAGGCTGTCCTGACGGAAGAATTGTTTATCCTGAGCATTTCTGAACCTGAATTGTAATCTGTTACTTCCCTAATAAACCCCATAATCGTGAGTATTGTCTGTGAGTTCTGTGTGGCCACTGCAGTGAATTATCAAACCCAGCAGAGAAGTAGAGAGTGCCCTGGGAGGGACGACTGGTGTTAAGAATTAGTAAAAGATGGAGGAGAGAGGTGGTTTGTCTGACCTCGGTCACAGGAATCGGCTTTAGGTTGTTGATCTTGATTCTCGTTCCCTCTTGTGAAGTAAGAGGAGGTCAGACTCTGCCCCTAAGCCATTTTTACAGTCCTGTATGTCCTGATGGCACAGTGGTTAAGAGCTCCGCTGCTAACCAAAAGGTTGGCAGTTCAAATCTACCAGTTGCTCCTTGGAATCCCTATGGTGCAGTTCTACTCTGCCCTATAGGGTAGTTATGAGTTGGAATCAACTTGATGACAACAGGTTTGGTTTTTTTTTTGGTTTATATGTCCTTATATCTGCAAGTCTGTTGCTTCTCATTCTCTATGACTCACCTTTTATGATGCTTAGCATAGCACAATGCAAGAAGGATGCTTAATTAAATAGAGGCTTTATATGATAATGATAAACTTCTGACAGGGTAGAAGTCTGAAAGATCTGACCTAAAATTAGAATACTTTAATAGTTATGTTGTTGTTGTTAGGTGCCATTGAATCAGTTCCAACTCATAGGGACCCTATGTATAATAGGGTGCCCAGTCCTGCACCATCCTCACTATCGTTGCTATGTTTGAGCCAACTGTTGCAGCCACTATGTCAATCCATCTCATTGAGGGTTTTCCTCTTTTTCGCTGACCCTCATAATGTCCTTCTCCAGGGACTGGTCCCTCCTGATAACATAAGGAGCATTCTGGCTGTACTTCTTCCAAGACAGATTTGTTTGTTCTTCTGGCAGAGTCCACGGTATGCTCAATATTTTTTGCCAACACCATGATTCAAATGCTAAGTAATTATGTCTTTCTTCTAGCTCTCAAAAGCTCATATCCTTAATGAAAAAACAGAAGTAATACAAAGAAAGAAAGACAGCAAAAGACACAACCCCAGTAACAGGAGGAAAAAAGAAAAAGAGAGACCTATGTGGGAGAAACAGAAAAATATACACTTGTATATATATAAGGAGATTCATACATGGATGGGAATACAGAGTTGGGGAGAGTGGCATCCAGGCCCTTTTAGGATATCGACTCTGAAGACTTTTAAATACGTTGCATTTTTGCAGCTATCAATACGTGGTGCCTGTCCTGTTCACCATCTAAACAGTGTACAAGAACCAGATGCTTCCAGAACTTTATAGAAAGAATGGGTTCCACTTTCAAGGTATTAATTTGAACGTGGTCCACCAACCTACAGAAAAGCTTTTCGTGTCTGAAATGACTGAGAATGTTTAGTTCCATTTCTAGGCTATGTTCAACTCAGGGAACATTTACCTCCAAAGAAGAATCCTACTTTATTTACTTCTTATTTTTTAAAATGAATTTAATGGAGACAAATTTGCTCTTCCACTTGAGACAACAGGAAAGCCCGGCCTCCCCTTGGAATGTGATCCCAGTGCCCTTCTTGGTCAGCACTAGGAGGGCAGTCATGTATCATCTTGGAAAGGCCGAGAAGGCAGAGGCTGAGAGGGACAGAATTAGGACCAGAGTTGGGGCCTGATGCCAAAGTCAGTTCGGTGCTCTGTCTAAAGCAGTTCATGCACTCATGCCCAACACTTTGGGAAAACGAGGAATTCTCCTAACCTTTTCCATCTGTGCTGAAGTCACGTCAGAATTCTTACTGAAAATAAAAAGTGAAAGCACACAAGGAGTGAACTTCATAGTTACAACAACCCTCTGAGTCCTTTGGGGCCTGAGTGGCCGGTGTCTGAGGGCAGGTTCAGCTGACATGGTCTGTCCTGGACCCACCAGCGTGCCCTTGGGATCAAGTACCTGCACGAACAGACCAAGGACCCTCGTAAACTCTCTCGTTCACATTCCTCCTCACTGCATAGATTAGGAGAGAAGACTATTGGCCCTGCTTCACAGAAGATCCCAGAAGCCTCTGGTCATCCCTGCTCCTTCCTGTTTATATTAGGTGGCCCAAAGTCCAGTGTTTTCCTGTATCAGGAAACAGAAAACAATAGGCTGTGGCCAAAGAACCCCGGAGTTTCCTCTTTCTTCCTGCACAGCTTAGAAGTGGTCTCTGTGGGGATCCTAAAATTCAAGGAGACAGAACCTCCAGAGCTCTGCATCTGGACACACCTTGTCTCACCAGCATCTGCCCTGAAGTAGCCCTTTGTTAATATGTTGGCTTAGTTCTTCTGAGCTCAATCTGGGCATCATTATTTGCCCTCATAAAAATCTGGGGATCAATGAATAGCTCCAATGTTACCATTCTCACAGGGAACTCTTGGAAAACCATCTACAATTTCTGGCCAAAACTTACAAAAAACAATTACTTTATCAATTAATTATATGTGGCCTGACTTGTTACTTAAGTCTTTTGTCACTTACTTTGTAATGTATGTTATTCTAGTCTCTTCCACTGGACTGTGGGATCCTGAAGGAATGGAGGGCCCTGATCTGACACTGCTCTGAATGTCCAGACTGACACCAGACAGTGCCTGGTACACAGGAGGTATTTAAAAAATAATTGCCAGATGAACATTTACTGGTTTGTTTTCGTATTAAATTAGATTCTGTTATAATACATAAGTCAAAGAGAAGAATTTGCCTATGGTGGACAAGAAAGAGAAATCCAACAGGAATTGCAGGAGAGCAGTTCAGCAAGTCACACACAGCCAGGGGCAGTAGGTTGCAGAGCCCACAGCTTCCTGAGGGAGCAGGAGATGTGAGCAGGCTGTCCTATGGATCCTACCAGGGAAGGCCTTCCTGCCTTGTGGCAATACAAGATTGAAAAGTCTGGCAGGAAGGGTGTGTGCTCTTCACAGTCAGGGCTGACAAAACATGGAGAAATGGCAGCGACATATCCTCCTTTCCTTTCTGTGGTGCTGCATGCCACAGAAATGGAAGAACAAATGTCTCAATCATGACCAATTCCCCAGCACCGAGGGCTTTAAACTCTGACCTCACAAACTTTACACTTCCTGAAATGTAATCTCCAGCACCTGTGACAGGGCAACTCTTAGAGTATTTCCTTTATTTTTGCTCAAGGATTTACCGATGGCAAGTGGGAAGGCTATGTCTTTTTCAGCCACTGGAGTATTTTTTCCCACAGCTAGAGGAGCCCCAATGCACCCACACGAGCACTGCTCGAGGGGTGAGTGATGCCCCAGAACACTGCTGCCCACACTCACAAGCCCAGGAGGAGAGCAGTGACGCCCGGAGTACTACCCAGAGAGAGAAAAAGTGTGCCCTTGCTAGGGCCTGACCATCCGTACCTAGAGCCTTCACAGATATTTGCCGGGTGAGTGGAGGGGGGATGTTGATGCAGACCAGATCCACGTCTTGATGCAGCAAGACATCGTCAGTTCGGCTGGTGTAGAAGGTGATGTTCATCTCCTCTGCGAGCTGCTTTGCCTCCTCCTCTGTCTTACCCCACAGGGCCTCGACAGTGAACCCTTCTGCCCTCAGCAGTGGCACAAGAACCCGGGCAGAGCTGCCAGTCCCAAACACGCCCACTCCTGGCAGCATCTTCATCCCAGCTTCTCTGTTCATCACCTCATCTCCTCACAAGCGCCTCCGGTGTGGGTCCAACCTTCCCATAGTCCTGGTCAAACATGGCTCCTAGAACAGCAAGCGTTACACTGGCTGTTAGTGGATGGCACACTTGGCTGAGACTACTTTCTTGGCTTATTCAGAAGCAATGCGTTCTCTGCCACAAAAGCACAAACGAAATACTGCTCCAAAATGAGAAGCTGTAGAATCTTCTTCCATGGACACTTAAGGATACCAGCAATATCCATCTACCAGGACTCAGGGAAGGAGGGGAAATGAGAAATGGGTAAAGTTGGGTTCAGATCCCTATTCTGCTACTTAATTTTCTGTGCGACCCTGGTCAAATCATTTAATCTTCAGGGCCTTAACTGTAAAATAAGGAGAATGACTGATCTTTCAAGTTCCTTCTAGCTGTGAAAGTTCATGATTCTAAGATATTATATGATAGAAAGAAAAAGAGTGAGTGGGAGACAAAGATTAGTAAAAAAGGAAAGAGAAAATATGATCTAGGTGCTATACAGAGTAGAATTTTAAAATTTTATGGTACCAAGCATAGGAAAATGTACAATTCCATTAGAAACTAAAATACCAAAATTTTTTTCCAACTACCAAATTGGCCACACACAAAAAAAGTACATTTAAAAAGGTTTTTGTTCAAAGATGCTCACTCCAGCATTGTCTATAACAGTGAAAAACTGGGAAACAATCTAGATGTCCAATAAAAGTAAAAGAATAAAACCACACAAGGTCCTTTGCTTGGGGTCAAAGTCATGATGGAAAATCGAGCTGAGAGTCAGGTGTACTCAGGGCACAGCACAAGGTGTCCCCATAAGCCCTTACTCAGCTAAGCCAGTTGTCTCCACTGTAGCTGCATGTTAGGGTCACTGGGGAGTGACCCCCACTCCCCAGACCCAACAAATCAGACTCTGGGGATGAGGCCACATCACCATCATTTTCTCTTAAAGCTCCTTGGGTGATCCTCATTGGCAGCCAGGGCTGAGAACCTCTGAGCGATATTTAACCCAAATGAAAAGTTATCTACATTCAGAACCCTAACAAAATTTCCTGAGTTTGTTCCATGTATACTTCCCTCAACCCTCTCATCCCCTCTTTACTGTATTAAGATAAAAAAAACAAATTTCCCATTAAAAGGGAAAAATATGGTAACACTAGCAACTATTTTAAGTTCTACATATTTTCTTCCATTTTTAACATTCATTGTTTTAAAAATAATTTTAAAAACACTTTACGATCCCTTCATCTACCAATTATCTTTTAAAAAATTAGATAATTTCTGATCTTGATCACTGCGATATCATGCGTTTTAAAAATTTACATTCAAAATGTGTATATTCTTTTGCTGTTCTACTTTTATTCACATAACGCTGCATTCCCATTGTAAATTATTTCATTCCCCAGCTGTGAGCACTTGGGTTATATACATCCCTGCCATCCATCCCACCTCTCTGGCCACTTCTGAGTGCCAATTTCGGGCTCCTCTGCTCTTGTCCCTCCACCCCCACTTTAATGCTGTGTTTGTGGGAGTCTGTCACAGACATCCTTCCTCTTATCGCTCTACATGCTCTCTTAGGCCCTCTCTCATCCACTTCCAAAGCTTTCATTAGTATACTGGTGACTTCCTAACCTGCAGCGTAAACCCGTATTTCTCTCCAGAGCTTCATGCCCATATATACGGCCCCCAAATCTCTGCTCTGATCTACAAACTCCACAAAACCAGTATGACCAAATGTGAACAGAAGCAGCGGGATGACTGCAACAACTTTCCACTTGGTCTTCCTGGCTTCCATCCTTCCTTCAATCCAGATCCTTCTAAAATGCAAACGGAATCACATCACTCCCTTCCTTTTTAAACCCTTCAGTGACTTCTCATTGATCTCAGTATGAAGTCCAGATTCTTTAGCATGACTTACAAGGTCCTGCATGATCTAGAAATTTCAAGATAGATCTAGCTTTGTGCAGGGTCACTTCCAAGGATTACCTCCAAAAGAGATGAGTTTCACAACACATACTTAAATATGCCAGTAAGATGAATGCTCTGTGATATTAGCTACAAACCAGTTAAAAGTTGGGGGGACAGTTACATAAAATGACAACAGTGGTTTTAGAGTATCTGATGATGTGTTTTTTTTTTTCTTTCTTGAATAATAGTGGGAAATAGCTGTTTTAACTACAGTCTTCTAGACCATGACACTAAAGCCATATCATCTCACAAAAAAATTCTGCACGAATGTTTATAGCAGAATTATTCATAATACCCAAAAAGTTGAAACAACCCAAATGTCCATTAACAGATGAATGAGTAAATAAAATGTGGTATATCCATACAGTGTAATATTATTCAGGAATAAAAAGGAATGAAGCACTGATATATGTCCCAAATGAATCAACCTCCAAAACATTATGCTAAGTGAAATAAACCAGACACAAAAGGCCACATATTGTACGATTCCATTATACGAAATGTCCAGAATAGACAAATCCATACAGACAGAAAGTACACTAGTGGTTGCCAGAGGATGGGGGGAAAGGGGAATTTTTTTTTTTGGGGTGGTGGTGATGGAAATATTCTGACATTGGAAATATTCTGAAATTAGGTAGTGACAATGGTTGCACAACATTGTGACTAGTATACTAAAAACAACTGAACTGCACACTTTAAAATGGCTAAAATGGTGATTTTTTTTTTAATGTTATGTGAACTTCATTTCAATAAAAAATATTTTAAAAAACTACCTACCCTATGAGCTCCTGTCCGGAGGCAAGATGAGAAGGCAGAAAGAGACAGAAGCTGGCTGAATGGACACAGGAAATCTGGGGTGGCGAGGAGGAGTGTGCTGATACATTATAGGGAGAGCAACTAGGGTCACATAACAATGTGTGTATAAATTTTTGTATGAGAAACTAACCTGAACTGTAAACTTTCACTTAAAACACAATTAAAAAAAAAACTATCTGCCTATGTTCAGCTCAGCCAAAAATAGTATCAGATAAAATGCATGTTCAAAAAGTATGTAGAAATTAATCTATCTTCAATGGAAGGATTTTTAACACTAGAAAAACAAGGAACGACCCCTAGAGAGTACTTTCCTCAAGGCAGTAAATGACTCTGACTGGAAGTCATGGTAAACAGAGATAAACATAATTTTAAGCTTTTATTGGTGAGAAGTCATGTAGCTAATTTTCTCAAAAACTAAAAAAGTGAAATGTGTATTATTTAAATTATAAAAATGATGCAAACTCATTACAATAAAAAAGAAAAACAAATGTGCTGCAGTACAACCAAACACCTCATAGGATTTGGTTCCTTGATTTGGAGGTTTAGGGTCATAGTTCCATGGTACAGCCCAGTTACTTGGCCTAATAACGTGTTTAGTGCTTCTGTTCTACCTCCTAGTTCTCTGCATAGTGTCTGGGGTCTTAAAAGTTTGCAAGTGGCCATCCAAGACATAACAACTGGTATCTGTTCACCTGGAGCAACAGAGGAAGAAGGAGAGTCAGGAATAGGAGGAGGAAATGGAATGTGTGGCTAATTGCCTCCATGAACAACTGCCTCCTTTGCCATGAGACCAGAAGAACTGGATGGTGTCTGGCTACCATCACTGCACATTTTGATCAAACATTCTATAGCAGAATCCGGATCAAAAGGGGGAAAATGTAGAACAGAATTTAAAATTCTAAGGGAATCCAAGCTTTCTGGAGCCATGGAGGCTGGAGGAACCCCTAAAACTATTGCCCTGAGATAATTTTTAAACCTTAAACCAAAAATATTCCCTAAAGTTTTCTTAAAACCAAACAAGAGATCAGCTTAACTAGTAAAAAATGTCTCCCTTGAGCATTATGCTGTTTTAAGATCTACCATATTTTCACGCAAATAATGACTGCCTCCTACATTTGCTTGCCAACCCTGCCCTCAAGGTATTTTCATAAGAGCCTCTACAACAATTTTTTTTTACATGTTCCTGTAAAAAAAAAAAAAACAAATTAGCATAGCACACTTACAAAAATACCTCACAGGGGTGGGGAGAGGGGGCATGGCTGGTAAACAAACATAGAAGGTGCACATTATTTGCCTACAAATACAGGACCAAAATGACAATGCAACTCAAAAGATTAGATGGAAACCTTAGGGGGCAGTGAATTTATGTTAATGGGCAAGGAACAACTCAGAGAAAGAGGGTGAGAATGGTTGCACAACTCAAAGAACGTAATCAATGTCACTGAATTGCCCACGTAGAAACTGTAGCATTGGTGTTATGTTTTGCTGTGTGTATTCTCAACAAAAATAACAAATGTGCTGCACAGAACAGCCTTTGCTTTCTTTGAGCTGATGAACTCCTGGGACTCCTATCTGCCATTTAAGCCTTCCCGCCTATGGAAACCTTTCCTGCCTGCCCCACCCAGACAGAGGGAAATGTTCCCTTACACCTTCTGTATACTTGCAATATAAACTGTAATTTATTCCTCTTTGTGTACCCAGGGCGATGAGCACAGCAGGCCTCCACTGATTAGTGAATGAATAAATAAATGAACTCTGTGTTCAGTGAAGCATTTTCTAGGTGCTCCAACTCACAGCTATCTCTGGCTTCTGATAGCCACATCCCTCTATGAAACACCAAAGTTATCCTTTGAAAACATACTAGGTTCTATCCTCACATGCTGCTAATAATGATACAGATGGGACAGGCATTTGGCCTTATTCATAATTAAAACTATGCACACCTTATGACCCCAAAATTGCATTGTGAGTGTATGTTATCCCAAAGAAATTCTCACGGGGGACCCAAGGGGCACAAGGATATTTACGACATGTCTGTGGTGCAGAGTTGGAGGCAATCTGGAGGACCATTGCTGGTGGAGTGGGCAAGAAAATGGGGTCCACTGCAAGGTAGAAGAAGTGATACTAGATAAATACACAGCCACATGGATGGATCAAACAAACGCAGGACTCAGTGAAAAAAATAAGACACTCAATGAGCTCCATTACACAGTACTATTTAAATTACTAAAAATATATGCACAAAAAACAAAAATATACATTCCGCAAGAAC